TTAAATATAATTTATTATCCATTCAAAAGCTATGTTCTGACAATAATTGCGTGGTGATATTTGATAAAAACTCTGTTTTTCTAAAGGCTTCCAGTAGCGGATCCAGTCTCTACCCCATTCGCCTATCCCCTCCACCACCTTTGGCTTTAGTCTCTAGCGCGGGGCCTGGACCACTGTGGCATCGTCGCTTGGGACATTGTGGCAGTAGAGTTTTAGATGGTCTTAAGAAGTCGGATCAACTATGTAGTTTGTCTTCTTTTAATCATGATTGTTCGTCGTGTCGTTTGGGTAAATCTCAGAGATTACCATTTCAAGATGTTTTTCATAGTGTTAGTAAACCTTTATCTTTAATACATTCGGATGTTTGGCAATCCCCAATTTTATCTTCTTCTGGTTTTAAGTATTATGTCTCGTTTATTGATGACTTCTCTCACTTTACTTGGATATATCCCATGCGTCGTAAAAGTGAAGTTTTTAATCATTTTAAATCTTTCAAGTGTCTGGTGGAAAATTTATTAGATCATAAAATTAAAATTTTTCAAAGTGATGGAGGGGGTGAGTTTGATAATTTAAGTATGCGGTCATTTTTTAATTCTAATGGCATTCTTTTTAGAAAATCCTGTCCTGACACTCCTCAACATAATGGTTTAGCTGAACGCAAACATCGCCACTTACTTGAGTTAGCGCGAACGATGCTTATTGATGCTGGCCTGCCAGCCAGTTTTTGGGTTGAAGCTATTTTGACTGCTGCTTATATTATTAACTGCTTGCCTTCCACCAAATTCACTGGTTTTTCTCCATACCAAAAATTATTTCACCAGATTCCTGACTTCTCTTTTATGTGTGTGTTTGTATGTGCTTGTTATCCTAATTTTGCTGCCACTTCAGCCAATAAACTTTCTCCTCGTTCTGTTCAGTGTGTTTTTCCGGGATATGCCACTCAGTATAAAGGGTATCGTTGTCTTGATCCTCGGACTGGAAAAGTTTACATCAGTCGCCGTGTTCGGTTTCATGAAAATATTTTTCCTTATTCAAACTTAGTGTCTTTTCGGCCTAATGAGTCATCATCCTTCCAACCATGTCCCCTTTATCTTTTTCGTGCCTCTACACCGTTGCCGACCGCTACTGCCCCCGGAAGATTTTCATTTGGGCACATGTACATCATCACCATCAGTGGACTCCTCGCCGGAATTGGACACCTCTGGCCAGCCGACAATTGCGTCCGACATCTCCATGATCAAGAGTCGGTCCGAGCAGCAGTCTGGAACGTCAGACACCTCCATGACCGAGAGTCGATCTGGTAGTGTGCCACCGGCAGCTGCTGGCCTGGGCAGCTCTACCGAGCTTGGCTCATCGTCCAGGACCAGTGCCGAGGTTGGTAATGTACATGTCTCCGATAATTTGGTCATTAAAAATATTCATCCCATGCAAACAAGGTCTAAATCAGGAATTTATAAACCCAAAACAATTTTTAATTTAAACACTGCGGTTGTTTTGATTCCTGATCCGACTTGCTTTTCTATGGCTAATAAAGATCTTAAATGGAGAGCTGCCATGGATGAGGAATTTAATGCACTTATTGCTAATAACACATGGGAATTAGTGCCGTTTGACTCTAGTAAAAATGTGGTTGGGTCGTAATGGATTTATAAAACTAGATATCTTTCTGATGGGTCTGTAGAACGACATAAAGCACGTCTGGTTGCCCAAGGGTTTAAACAGCAAGCATGGATTGATTTTTCTGAAACATTTAGTCCTGTTGTCAAACCCACTACTATTCGAATTGTTTTGACCTTGGCTATTTCATTTAATTGGCCTATTCGTCAGTTGGATGTTAAAAATGTTTTTCTTCATGGTCATCTCACAGAGGAAATTTATACGTGTCAACCACCTGAATTTATTCATCCTCAATTTCTCAATCATATTTGTCGCTTGCGCAAGGCTATTTATGGTCTTAAACAAGCTTCACGAGCTTGGTTTCATCGGTTCAGTAGCTTTCTTTTGACTCATGGTTTTATGTGTAGTCGTGCTGATAATTCCTTGTTTATTTTTCGCCAGGCTACTCATATCATTTATTTATTACTATATGTGGATGACATTATTATTACTGGCAATTCTTCTAAACTTATTAGTAACTTTATTTCTCTATTAGGGAAATATTTTGCTATGAAAGATTTAGGGGATATTCACTTTTTCTTGGGGGTTCAGGCTGTGCGAAATTCTTCTGGTTTATTTTTATCTCAGGCCAAATATGTGTCAGATCTTCTTACCCGCTTTCAGCTTCACACTCTTAAGTCAGTTAGCACGCCATTACCTAGCAGAACTAAGTTATCTCTCACTGATAGTGAGTTACTTGCAGATGCTACGAAGTATCGGAGTATGGTAGGTGCATTGCAGTATTTAACTATGACTAGACCTGATATTACATATGTTGTTCATTTGGTGTCTCAATTTATGCATGCTCCTCGTACTTCACATATGTTGGCTGTAAAGAGAATTTTCAGGTATCTACAGGGCACGATTAATCACGGTTTACATCTCCAGCCTTCCGCTCATCCGCACTCTATTCTGGCATATTCTGATGCTGATTGGGCTGGTTGTCCTGATAGTAGTCGCTCTACATCTGGTTATGCTGTTTTTCTTGGCCCTAATTTGATCTCCTGGCGGTCCAAGAAACAACTCACTGTCTCTAGATCGTCCACTGAAGCTGAATATAGAGTCATCGCATACACAGTTCGGGATATATTACACATTCGTTCCATCTTATTCGAACTCGGCTTTCCTATTTATAGCCCTGTTCGTCTATTGTGTGATAATGTATCGGCCTCATATTTATCTGCTAATCCCATCCAGCATGCTCGCAGTAAGCACATTGACATTGATTATCACTTTGTTCGGGAACGTATGGCTCATGGTGATCTCTTAGTACAATGGCCTTGTTTGGTAAATGGCTGTTAGCTGTTGCTGTTAGCTGGTTGTGTCAGCTGTTTTCTAATAGCTGGTTGTGTTAGCTGTTCTGGCCGACTGATTATGTTAGCTGATTGTAAATAATTGTTTGGTAAAATTGGTTGTTTCAAAATGGCTGATAGAGTGTAAAAAGACATATAAAGACATGATAATACTTATTGTAATAAGTACTTTATCATTGTTAATAATGAAAATTTTATAACTACTCTTACTTCATAGATATAAATAAATCATTTGTATATTTGTAATTTTTAAAATGTGTTGAATAAATTCTATTTTAATTCAAGAGAAAAGGCATAACTAATACGTAGTAATATAAAATAATATACCAGAGTAATATTTTAGTTAAGCATATACTACGTACGTATTATTTTTTCAAACATTATTTGGTTTTACAAATTTTATTTAAAACAATACTTAAATCATTAATTTAGAAAAGGGTAACCCATGCCAAAAGAATGAAACAAAAAGAAAGAACTGCAAAACAATTAGTTGCGTAAACTTTGGCTAAGGAAAATGTTACGTTGGACATTGGGGCCGTATACCCCTGGTGGGAAAATCTGAAGAAGCCGAATAGAAACGCTGCCCTCCTTGGCTTCTCCTACCAGCCATTTTTTCAGCTTTTGGGACTCAACAAGCCAATCTAAAAAGCCATCTACCAAACATAAATATTGGATGCTTTGACTAATGAAACAGCTAATATTGGTCAAACAAGCTAAAAGCTGGCTGATAAGCCATTTGCCAAACATAGCCAATATGTTCCAACGAAGTTTCAGCTGGCTGATATTTTCACCAAGAGTTTGGCTCCTCAGCAGTTTTTATTTTTACGAGACAATCTACGCATTGTTCCTCCTGCATAGATTGAAGGGGTGTAATAGTGTAGAATTAATTATTAGTTAGTTTCCTAATTGTATTTGGCAACTTATTCATTATAAATATACTCTCAGGGCTACCATTTTGGTTAAGCCTGTTTATTATTCTCACAATATAGAGTTTGACACAAGTTTTAAAGGGAAAGTAATAGGGGTAGTGTACAATGTGTAGTGGGTTGTGTTTGAATGAAAACGTAGGAAATAGCTAGAATGAAAAAGTAGGAAAGAGAATGAAAAAGTAAGAAAGAGAATGATGGTATATAGGTCTATTTATTGAAAAAACTTTCCAAAAATGGAAATAGAAACAAATATTCAAGAACATCCCAAAATGAAAAGTGGGACATCTATTAGAGAATGGAGGGAGTACTTTTTTCTTTTATTACTATAATAATTCATAACTCTTAAAGCAAAATACCCCGCAAGTTTTTTTGCCATTTTTCTCATCTAGATGACTAGATCAGTACATTTTTTAGCAAAGATCTATTTTCTATGTTCACTATATGAGGTGTTTCGATCTAAATGTTCTGATGTTATTGCACTTTAGAAACGTAATGAGATTTGGAATGAAATGTTAAGGGGTGTATATGAACACCTTAAATATACAAATTATATATTTGTATTAGACAAAAAAAGTTTAAGGACTTTAAGGTTTTTCCTTTAACATTGACTGACAAGATACCGAAAGTACCATTCGTCCTTAAATTCATGTGTCTCAGTGTCTCACTGTCTCGTTTATAGAACTTTCCAACTAATTATTGCAAACAAGATCAGAATTAAAAAAATGTAGAGTACGTGCTAATAATTAATTAGATCAAGATTAATACACCAGAGTTGTAGAAGGATAATGAAAATGAGGAGTGACAATTTCACTTTTTGAAGGATATTGAAAATGAAAAGTTGCATTTTTTGCGACACCCCAAATTAAAACTTGACTTTACCAGAGCTTTTTATTTCATGGATTACATTATTCAAAACTTAAAAGTAATCGGAAATTGATACACATAAACGCCACTCTAAAAATTTACCAAAGCTATAGGAGAAAGAGATTGAGCTGAAATGACGACCATATTTAAATTAAACTGAACAAGATAGATATGGGAATAATACAAAAATTAAAACAGGAGCTAAGAAGTTACTCCAATTATTATGTCCATATATGTAGAAATAATCAACATTATTATTATGTATTTGGAATTACCAAAATTTGTCAATAAGGAGGCCGAGCATTTCCGCGGCCCCAATAAGTGCATGTTTGGCACACATAAGTCACTGCCTTCTAGCTTTTGCATTGTTTAAAAAGTCTCTAAAAGCTTTTAGTTGTGTGTTTGGCATGACAAATTTTAAGAGCTTCTCAAAAAATAAAAGATCTTTTTCGAGATGCTACGGGGAGTAGCATCTGAGAAAAGACCGTGACTTTTAGTATTAATTTGTCCTAACAGCTTGTATACCAAACAAGACTAAATCAAACAGTCGGCTTTTTACCAAACAGTTACCACCTTTTCTTGTTAAGATCTTTTCAGTCACTAAAAGCTAACAGTTACTAAAAAACTCACAAAAGTATCTTTTCAGCTAGTCGTGCCAAACATACCCTAAGCCTCAGCCGGATATGAACCTATAAGGTTGGAAGGCAAACCATGGAGCATTGTTTCATCGGAAGACACCATTATCTGCGACGGATGTTGCCGGAAACTACCCATTCCGCCGCCGCCACCCCCCAATTCTTCGCCCCCGTGAAGCGCTGGAGACTCATCGTCTTCTATCGGGAGCCTTTCGTATGCCGCATTCCCGAAAGATGCGGCGATGATCGTCACCTGGCCGGAGGCCATTAAGGGCCCCATGACGCTCCCGCCAACGACTTGCCCTTGACCTCCGGCGAGGTAAATTGTTAGCCCCGACGCAGCGGGCGGAGCGGGCGGGGGCAAGTATGACCCCGAGAGGGAAAGAATCTCGAATCTCCCGCGCAAAGTGACGACGGGGCCTCCCGGAGAGGCCGCCGGTTGCCGGAGAGTTACATTGGAGACGCTCCCGCTGCCGCTCAGAACGCTGACACCTCTCTGCCGCCACGTGGCGAAGTTGGAGATGCTTTCTTGGATGTCGCAGCCGTTAGTAATCTCCATCACGTGCGACCGGAGCGTGTTGGCGCTGTCGCGCGTGATGATGATCGGCGGCTTCGGCTTGTTCTTCGACCCCGCCGGCCTTCCTCTCGGCTTCCTCCCCGCCGCCTGATGATCTCCGGCGCCGGCGGAGAGGACCAAAGCTTGCCTCCCCTCAAAATCATTACAAGTAGTGCTATTGTTAGTCGTAGACGTTGCAGTGATGTCATCGTCGCGATCTGACTTCTGGGCGGTGTGACAGTCACCGCCGTCGTCTGATTCTGGCAGCAGTTGGTGGTGGAACTGCTGCTGCTGAACTTCCCTACTATTATAGAAAGGCGGCGTCAAAGGGCGGCGGCCGTGATGAGTTGTGAGTGGATCCATTTCGCCGGCTTTATGATCTAGAATTCTATAAACAAATTAAACTTTAGCTAGCTAGCTAAGCTAGCTCGATGGCCGGAAAATCAAGAATCCCCTTTTGTAACGGCAAGCAGCAGCATCCTGGTTGGCTTATCTTTCTCATCAAGTCTGGTGGATGGAAAAATCAAAAGGCTTCTTCTGATGATCTAACCTTAACCAGAAAGAAAGAATTGTCAGTCAAAAGGAGTGAACAGTGGTGGCTAAGAGCTGAGATGTTGGTAAGGGTTAGGTTTAGGCTGAGTGAGTAATGGATTATACCCTAGCCTAGAGAGAGAGATAGATGGAGGAGATGGAGAGGATTGGATCTATGATATGGCTGCTAGATGGATGATAATGGAAATAATGGTTTTAATGGTAGGGAGGGAGTGCTACAAGGGTTAGGTCTCGGGTTCAAATTCCGGCAACTGCGATGAGAGATTACTATGCTGAAAAATGTATAGGGCCTCTGCAAGTACCGGGGACAGAGTCTCACTCTCTATCTGTTAGATTGTGATTATAGTCTAATTTACATCCTCCAATCGTGCCGTCCGGTCGGTGTTGGGGGACCTCAGGGATGGGGTGTCATCCTTTTTTTTGGAAATAATGGTTTTAAGGATTGGATTATTTGATTTTTGGATTATCTGGTTTATCGGTCAATTTTCTTATCGAACACGAAAATTTTGATCGTGCATGTCGAATTATTCAATAATTAGAAAATTAAGGTTGAGGTTAATTTTTTTAGGTGAAAATTCTGTAAAAGATCATTATAGCTATTTTCATATACATAATGCATAGTATTTTTTTTTAATTTTATTAATAAAAAAAAAATTTAAATGTTTCTTCTTTCAAAAATCAACAGAGCTAGCAATCGAACTATTTCCGCCAAAACTTCATAATTTCAGTAGAATCAGCCAATTCAACTAATTTTAATTTTAATGTCACAGGACAAATTTTTTTAATTTTTCCTTTAATTTATTTCCTTTTTATTGTATTTCTTGATTTTTCTTTTGGTTTTTGAAGACAGCGTGCGCATGGGCGAAGGGAACATGGGTCCCATATTCCTCCCCTCTCCTTCCTCGCACCCACCCTCATCTCTTCTTGGTCTCCCATAACCCTAGCTGTCATAATTCAACACAATCAGCTCCTATGGGCCCTTGAAGGATGGGATTGTTTTTATTTTATTTAACAAATTGATGTACAATCAAGTACTACGTAGATTCTCACAAATACTCTCACATCAATCAAATAAATAAAGGATAAAGGTTTTCATTAGTAATAAACCAATAACCAAATAGTCCTGTTCCACATTATCAACTTTAAGTTGGGCGTGAAATAATAAGAAAATGATTATGATTTATCCGGACAAGAAATGAATCAAACAGCTAGAGCAGGATTTATGCAATTACAGCATCTTTATTTTAGGCATAGGATGTTCTTATTTGAACTCTTTTCAATTTCAAATCAGAAATCAGACCAGACCAATTTAGATTACACCATATCAAATCCGAAAATTTCAGTTCAAGTAAAAATATCCATAGTCACATATTGCTGATGGAAACTGCTAATTGAAACTAAGTAATAATCTAATAAGGCCGTTTGGTAACACGGCTGATAGTGCTGAAGTTTATTAAGTTCTGATTAAGGTGGCTGTATTGTAGGCCTGGGACCGGTTCGATTCCTAGGCGAAATATGTGGAACCGTTTGAAAATATGGAATTTTACTAACGGTTCGGTTCTTATAAATTATTTTGTGGAACCGATAAGGAACCGAACCGTTCTTAACGGTTCGGTTCTTGTCATTTAACGGTTCCTAGTATTTAAAAAAAATCTTACAAATCACGGTTAAATTTGTGTCAAAAATACATTCAATGCTTGAAATTACAATACAAATATGTTGAACTTCATTTCAAACCTCAAAAGTTGAGTTTAAAAGATAAATACATTACAAACTGCAAATTTTAGAAAACAAAAAAAAAAACAAGATATTCGGTAAAGAAGCCCAATCAAACCAGTTAAATGAAAAATAATTTCAAATAGTTAAATAACTAAACTAAAATAGTGAATGTAATATGAAAATAGATAAGTAAATATACATTAAAATATATATACTAATGAGAAATATATATAATTTTAATTATTATATATAACGGTTCTTTAACGGTTCCACGTACATATTTTTTACAGGAACCGAAAACCGAACCGTTAATAAAAAGTAGGAACCGAACCATTAACAAATAACTAATAAATTTTGGAACCGAACCGAACCGGGTCATAATGGTTCGGTCCGGTTCGGTTCTCCGGTTCTTGGTTCCAAAGTCCCAGCCCTACTGTATTGGCTGATTCTGTTGATTTATGAAAAATAAATTAAAATATTTTTTATTAATAAAACAAGGAAAACAATATATGAAAAATAGCTAAAATGACACTCTACGGTAACTTCAACCAATACAATCAGAAAACTAACTTCAACCTTACTTTTTCTTATTATTACACAATTCAGCGTGCGGAATTAATAATTTCGTGTTTGGTGAAAAAAATTCTCTGAAAAGCTTGATAAGCTGAAAAACAAAGTCACCAAACGTATTCTAAGTTTATCATTGATGGTTTATCTAAGTTTATCATTGATGGTTTATCTAAGCCATAATCTAAGTTTATCATTGATGGTTTATCATCTCAATTCAACCGATCATTTACCACTAAGAAAGTAAGAATACCTGGAATTATATGGAGAAGTTTAAGCACGGGCTCTCTATCCAAATTCAATAAGTTTCACACATTTATTCCTTAAATTCAAATCCATTAATTTGGAGCTTTAATTTATCATGAATTATTTCCCGTACAATTAAACTTTGTCGGTTCTCTTAGTTCACTTTCCACTATATAAACTTTAACTATAAATGTCTATTTCTGTGTTCCGTGGATTATTCTACTTGTCAACAAAATTGGTCAAATTTAATGAGACAAATAGAACATTTGTTTTTACTTTGACCAATTTCACGTACATTGTAATCTTTAACAGCTTTGACCAATTTGTGTCGGTCTATTTTTTAAATATTATTTCTTGATAAATTTTATTTGGGGAAACTCTGAAATAATCTTCGCCCAAAACAGCAATTAAACTCTTATGAGTTTGATAATTACGCCAATCATACAATAAATGCACAAAATACGGAGTAGATGAGAGCAGTATGATAGTGTATCGAATATGAGAAAATTTACAAAAGATGAATTGAAGAATGATGTATTCAATAGAGCATTCACGTTGTAGCCATTTCTCAAAACTCAAAAGTTTTGACTTGCAATTTGTCTCTGTGACATTGTTCTTGCTTTGATCAGGGCCGTTCCTAGGGGGAGTGCAACAGGGGCGACCGCCCTAGGCCTGAAAAAATATAGGGGAAAAATAGGCCCAAAAATTTGTTTTTATATATAGTGTGAGTAGGCTTCTTTTTTTAATTTAAACTCAAGTAATTAGGCCTAAGGTTTAATTTTGTCGGAAATTTAAAATTTTTAAAACAAAGGATAAAAGGCATGTGGCACACCTCTTTGAGTAGTTAAGTCCCTTCACATCTCTAAGCTTTATAATTCTTTTAATTACAAAATTACCAAAATATTTATTCGCTCTAACTCTTTGAACATCCTGTGTGTCTCCCAAACTCCCGATTCATAAACCACCCCATCCCACTAACCTAATTAATTTCCTGAACGGTGGTTTCCAAGTTCCAATTAAACTCAATTATCTAATGACCTAAAGGACTAAGGTTTAATAAGGTCTTGGTCGTCTTGCACAAGAGTAGACATTAGAGAGTGCCGCAAGCCTGCAAATTGCCATTAGTCAAAGCGGTCAGCGGTGATGAGCCCAAACAGAGGCCGGCGACTAGATTACCTTCTTCTGTCAAGACTTCAAACAATCAGACAACGACCAGTAAATTATTCCCAATCTATTAGCTATGAATAATAAATCCACTAAATGTTCTTTTGATTTATGAATTATGAATAATGATTTCTATATGATGCATTTTTGGTGTCTTGGTAAAGTCATATTTGTTTGGTATTGTGCAATTTCAAATTCCTTTATTTCATTTTAGTGAAGGTGTTTGATAAAATGGGTGAATATGGTTGGGAAAAAGAGAAAAAGAGACAAAGATTAGAAAATGCAGCCTTAAGTAAGACGGGGGCAATGGAAAATTTTATTTTTGTTAAGAAATTGAATCCCGAAAATTCTTCTCAAGTTGAATCGTCACTAAATTCTTTTGTGAATGAAAACCATAACATGCTTGGAAATAATGATATAGGTGCAAAAGTCGCAAATATTGAAATTGAGCCAGATAATTGTGATTTAATGAAGAGAATAATTTTTGGTGGGTCGTATTTTGTTGATCGATTTTTAGAGATTAGGTTTTGTCTTGAACATAGGCCCAAATAATATCTCGCCCATAGGCCCGAAAATCGACAGGACCGGCCCTGGCTTTGATCTATAATTGCGTCATTTTGAGACCCAAAAAAAAAATCAATAGATTCCTCAAGCTCTCAAGTTTGAAAACTATCTCGGGCTTTCATATTACATTGACCTTCCGGATCCAAAAACAAAGTTGATCCGGTTAAACAACTTAACTAACCAACTTAATACACAAATATAAAGATAACAAATGCAAATGTACAATAAAATGATTCCTAACAACTCTCATACTAAAAACATCCCATTAAGTTTATGAACTTATTTATTAGACTCAAATTGTCATTTTAGTAGGTTGATTCTAGTTTTTGAGGATCATCGCCACATAATTCTCTTGTAACGTCACGTCACAACCAAATCATTTTAAATCTTGCTAATTTTATTATCTTCTTAAGACGATAAGAATGAACAAACCAAATTAAAGAGCACTTGAAAATCATTTTAATTAGGCTTTAATTTGATACCGTTGGTGTGCACGGACCAATGAGTAGCTGCCACATCGCCCATTTAGTGAATCGTTGGGCATAAAACCTAAAGGGTCTCTTAATTTTCACAACTACTTGATTTATATATCACTTTCAAGAGCTACTTAACATAAAAAGGGAAGGGGTAGAGGCGCTCTGAATTGATGGTTTTCTAATACTGTATAAAACTATAAACTCCTCACTCCTTTAAGCACAAAGAAGAGTTTGGTCCAATACTTGTGAACAATATTCAATATTGTTCTCACACTTTTTTCTTAATACTTCAACTTTAGAATAACTCTTCAAGTCAGCTAGAAACAAAGTATTAAGCTAAGGTTCACCTAGATTAGGTAGATTAAATTTCAATGTAATATAATCCATCATTCAGTCTAGGTGCGTAAGTACAAAGGTCATAC